AATTCTAGAAATCAGGACTGAATCCTTGGTGCGTTCTTCTCACTGACCAGTCAATTAATTGCTGATAAATGAATTAAGTTCACTCTCAAAAGAGAACAAGAAAAAAAGCACAAGGCCACAATCTCTTTGCTTCGAAGACGGCACTGTTGTGCAGAAGCCATCACGTAAGCTGAATTTTGGAGTGGGCGAAATGAAACGCAGTCCTCCTGTGCTAGCTGGGAGAAGGGAACCAGAGCTGGGCTGTGTCCAGAGCTCCTCAAGGTAGGTCCTCAGTGCCTTTCAACTGCAGGTCAGCACCATCTCTCCCTTGGCTCCCACAGGACTGAGAACACATGAGTGTGAGCAAAGGGAATTAGGAGCGTGGGCCTCTAACCCCAGCAAACAGGGCGGCTGCAGGAAAGGAGGGCGAGACTGACCTGGCCCTGAGTGGCCCAGCTATATGCAAAGATAGATTTCATAAATATAATGTAGGAGAGAGAAGAAAGGCATAAAAAGAAACAACATGACTTCATTTACATAAGGTTCAAAACCCGGTAAGATGAACATCTAATTGTTTCGTGATATAAAAATAGGTCTTGAAGCCATGCGACAACACAGAACAAAAACAATGTCGGCATGGTGTTGACCTCCAGTCTGGTGGGAGTTGGGGGCAGTGAGGATCTGGAAAGACACCCCTGGGATTTCTAGGGTGTGGACAATGTTATAATTCCTGATCTTAGTGGCGCTTATGTGGGTGCTGTTTTATTGCTAGCTGTTGTGTATGTGTGTTTGAAGCACGTTTCTGTGTCTGTGTTAGATGCTGCAATTTTTAAGTTAAGACCAGTGGATAAACTTGAATCAATGGAGTGTGGATGAGGTAGGGAGCTAAGACCACAGGCTCATACTTAGAAAACTTTCAAGTTTTAGACCAAGATTTCAAATCCTGGCTTTGCCGTTGTATGGGTAAAATGAAGCTAATACTTTCCTTTTGGACGGGTAGTGATTGAGATTATATATGGTAAACCACTTAGATTGCCTCATATATGGTAAGTAGTAAAAAATGTATATTATTTTTTATAGTTATTAAATTAAGACTAGCAAGGTGGTAGAGAAGATGATAAATTCAGATACTGCAAATTAAAAAATCTCTTTTGGAAATACATTTGGCAATACTTAACCAGTGAGATGCTAATATTCTTTGACCTAGTAACAGCACTTTGGGGGCTCTCGCCTCAAATCCAAAAGAAAGGAAAACCCACCTGGACAAACATAGCTACTGCAGTATTATCAATAATCATGAAAAATTAGAAACAGCCTAGATGTCCAACAGCAGAGATGTAATTTACTTATTTCGGTGCCTGCTAGGTGTCAGGCATTTTGTATATTTATTCTAGTACCTTCTCAGCAGTTCTGCAAAGTGAATATTATTTATTCTCACTTTTTATTACTTTGTTCAAGGTCACACAGCTGACAATAGGCAGAACCTAAACTCAAACCAAATTTATCCGACTCCAAAGTTGTTACAAGTACAGATGGTAAAGCAAGACGACCTGAGCTCAAAACTCACTTCAACCGCATGCTAGCTGCATGATCCTGAGTGAGTCAATTAACCTCGCTGTGTCTCCGTTTCCTCGTCTATAAAGTGGAAATAATAACAGTGCCTTCCTCAATGGATTAAATGAGTTGCTATGTAAGTACTTAGAAAGTTTCCATCACAGGTACAGAAGTATTAGCTATTATTAGGATTATTTTTTCATTATACCCTGCTGTGTGAGAGGTCACGAATGCAGATTTTAATCAACATGGTAATATTGGTGTAATGTTAAGCGAAAATAAGAATAATAAATTGCATTTATACTTATAATTACAATAATATAAAAGGATAAGAACTAGAATTTCTACACAAACAAAAACCCCCAAACTGTATTTGTTGGGATGTTGATACTATGATGAATTTATTTTCTTTTAACTTACAATGATATTATTTTATAAGAATAGCGACAATGGGGCTTTCTTTAAAAAGAAATTTTCAATAGTGTGACGGCACACAGCAGTTTCTGCTATATAGAAACTATGTTACACTGGTAGAGAAACTATACTAACTTACCCTCAAGTCAGGTAGGCCCTTTGAGGGACTCAATGTTATCTATCGGTTGAAGCAAGATACTAATTTCACAGGCTCTGGAATGACAGTTCCAGGTTAAATTTCATGTCTACGGCTGAACGCTGAGTGAGCTTAGACCAATTACTTAACCTCTCCAGCCTCAGTCTCCATGTCTGTAACTCAGAGATTATAATCAAATCATAGTATTGTTTTGTTTTTTTAATGTATAGTAAAAAAGATAATGAATGTGATGCTTCCTTGACACCCCACCAGGACTAACAAATTATAATTAAGTATGTTATGGCGGAATCCGTTGTTTAATGTCTGCCTCGCTAAGACTTCCTCCAGTGTCTTAGGAAACACTGTCACCAAAGCAGGAGCACCGCACTGCCACGCCAGCTTCCAGCACGATGCTTTGCACACAGTGAGCACTCAGTAGCTGTTTGAATGGCTGCCTGAGAACCTTACAAGGTGGTCAGTGGCAGTTTCAACTACAGAAAAGCTACTGGATTTAGTCTTGGCCCCGGGAACCAGACCTGAGCAGCATGGTATTAGCTTTTCCCGCCACAGCAGGGCTACGTGCTCTGCACAGAGAGAGCCAGCCAAGGGGTCGCGGGGACAAAGTCTAAGCCATGGACCCAGTGGGGTCTTATGTCACAGAATCAGTCCTTAAGCTCAGAAACGCCAAATCCTGGAAGAATACATTAAGGGATTAAGGTGGGATGTGGGAAATGATCAGGTGGAATGCCCCCTCTCTCCCCACCCCTCCACCCCCGCCCCAATTTAATGGCCCTATTTACCTTGTCCAAGCAAGCCATCTGGCCTCACTCACCATGCCCTAACCCCCAACCCCTCAAAGCTCGTCTCTCTGGTATCTCAGCTGAACCTTTAGGTGGGGCTGAAAACAAGACTTTGTTTTTCCACTGGAGGACGTGAGTCAGTGAATAGTGAGGTTCCACTTAATCACCCAAAAACAAGGTCCTTAAATCAGGAGCTAGAAAAGCAAGGAAGTGATTAATGTAAAAGTCAGGGTAGTGGTTATTCCTAGGGCAGGGCAGGTCAGGGTGGGGGTGGGGGGAGGGGGGATGAGGAACCCTATGGGGAAGGGATACAGAGAAGTCTCCTGAGGCTGACAATGTTCTAGTCCTTGACCTGGGTGGTGGTTGCTTTATAATTATACTTACACACATTTTATGTACTTTTCTAAATGGGCATTATAGTTCACAGTTTTAAACAGCTGAAAAAAACACACACCCATCTATAAAAGGTTTCTAAGCAGGGAAAAAATGACCAGATTTGTATTATTAAAAGATCATTTGGGTGTTGAACAGAAAATTGATTGAAGGTGGAGCAAGGCTGGAGGCAGAGAAAATAGGAGGTAAAGTGACTGCCTGATTTGGTGAGAGGTTACAATGACTGAGCTAAGAAAAGGTGAAATATTAGGGATATAGTCTATATTATTTTTTAAAAACACAACCAAAGTAAAACAGGCTGGCCCCCCTCGGCTCACTTTTTACCTCTGTGCATTGGGTGAATTTGGCTCAGGAATCACAGTCCAGGGCAGACACATAGGCCCCAACTCCCCCTAACCTCCCTCCCTACTCAGAGGGACTCAGACGGCCTGGCAGGTGGCAATCAGCGCACTTATTTTACGGCAATATTACCCAAGTAGAGCTGACAGAGGGATTTCTATTATAATATGTTAGAATTCAATCATAATATCTGATCACTAGAGACTTTACAGAGTACTTTTCCATCTACTATCTGGTACCAGAATGTTCGCTCCATGAGGGCAGAGATTTTTATTCTGTCCACTATTGTATCCTCAGTGCCTGGAACTGAACTTGGGACATACTAGGTGCTCAATAAATATTACTGAATGAATGGCTACATTTGATTACTATTGATATTTAATCATCACAACAACCCTGTGAGGATAGGTAGGACATGAATTTTTCTCCCCACTTGAGAAGTTGGAAAACAGAGGCTTGAGGGAACATGTCAAATCATTGCTCATCTGGTTGGAGACAGAATTACAATTTCATTTCAGGTGTTGTACTTCAGTTCCCTTGTTTTTCCCGCTTCTCCACAGCCGAAGAGCTAAGGTTTGAAGTTGTGATAGCTCTGAAACACCAGCTGGGAGTATTCCAAAATACATGCTGAGCACCATCAGACATCCCATGGCTCTGCTGTGCTGGGTTACGGATGAGTGAGGCCTGCCGGCTCCAAGGCATCACTAACCACAGCTCCTCAGAGATGCGGGGCTCCTGGGGGAATCTAGTCCCTCTGGGCCTAGGCTACCTCACGCTCATTCTTCTTCCACAGCCCTCACTTGTCTCTGCTCTCCATCCTGGCCATCCCACCCTCTGAGCAAAAGGTTAAGGAAACACTGTTATTGCAAACACACATGTTCTAATCTTATTTTGTCTTAGAAGAAAAATTAGAAACGTGGCAGCAGCAGTTTGGGTGCTCTAGAAGAGTCTGTCATCCAGTGAAATCCCACCGGGAGGCTAACAAAGTGTCCCCTGAAAAGAGAGACCATGCTCATCTGGGTCTCTCGCCTCTTAATGAAAGTTCTCCATTGGAAACACACATCACAACAGAGACACCTGGGAATGCCAGATGTTCCATTAATATTAGTATTTATACACCTGGAATGATGTATGTCTGCTGTAGATTCCTAGTCAGACTCCAAGAGCTAGCAAAGAAAATACTAAAAGCCGTATTTTGGAGGGAATAATTAAAATACACCCAAAACGCAGAGAAGTCAAGCTCTTAGGTTAACTTCCTCTGCTCCTCTCCTGCGAGGTCCGATATTCACCAATCCCAAGAGCAAGTTGGTCTGGGAGGGTTGGACCACCCGAGTCAGTTATGTAGTCTGTGTAACTCCCCTGAGGGTGTCACACGTCGGACTCACCAGAAATTCATTGGCAAACTCCTCCTTGTTACTTTTCTTGCTCTGGGCCTCATCCAGGAACCTCTGCAGAATTTCCCTTTCGTCCATGCTGCAGGGCGAGAGAGATCAGGTACAACTGGGTTAAGGGAGGGCATGTCCAACGCGAGTCATGGCCGAGACACCGGCTGGAAGCCACTGGTACAGACCCAGCAGAGCATGCTGAAGGCTGTGGTTTACTGACTTCATCACAAGCCTGAAAGGAAATTAGTACGTAACCAGCCTCTGTGGTCACACAACAAAGCCATCACCTCACTCCAGGGCCCTAGCGCCTTCCTCCTCAAGGAAGGAACCTGGTTGCAACTCAAGTTTTTAACAAACAAGACACTAGCCAGAACCTAACTTGTGGTCTGCTCAGCCCAGCCCCGTGTTGCACCCCATCGCCCTTAAGTGAAATTCACCTTCTTTTTGTTCCTACTGAAAAGGCAGAATTTACACTTTTCACCCAGAGATTTTGCCTCTCCCCTTTTCCCCAGTGAGCACAAAGGCCCTGTTGACACCTGTTTCTTCATGTCCTGAATGAACTCTGCAAAGTTCTGTTAGGCCCAGAAAGGGAGACAGACACTGTTTGGAGTTGAGACGTTTTTTAAAAGTTTCTCATCAGTGTGATCAATGGCAAACTCCTGTTTAACCAAGAAGGCATTTCCATTCAGAACTCTGAAGTCGGCCATACAGACCTCAAACTCTCACAAAGTCAGCTGCTCCTGACAAAGCCGGTGCCTCACCCAGGGCTGGGGAAGTGCTGGCCTCCGTTAAGGGAAGTGTGGATTTCAGGACTTCCGTGAGCCTCCTGTACTTTTTGAGCCTCAGTTGAACTCTGGATATCAAGACCAAGAATCCTGGTCTATATAGGACCCAGGAGCACAGGAAGTTGGTCACAATATCCCCCGTATGTAATGAAGGGAACTAGGAAGAAATAGGAAAAGAGCGAGTCAACTACCTGCTGGCAACAGCTTGACTTCCAGGACAAAAAGCCTGAGAACTGTTTCTAGTTAAAGACATTTATATTCTGCAAAATAAACGGTCGTTGTTTTCGGAAGTCACACTCTGTGTGTGGCACTTGACCCCATCTGACAGGCAGGCTGCTCTAAGAAAAACTTCCCACCTCTCAGATTGTCTCCTCAGTGGGTACAAACCTACCCAAGAGCGTCTCACTGAGCGAGAGAACCACCCAAAAGCAGCATGTCATCTGTTTGAGGACAGAAGTTCCACAAATGTGTTAACAAAATTAGTCTGGCCCTAGCCGGTTTGGCTCAGTGGACAGAACATCGGCCTGCAGACTGAAGGATCCTGGGTTTGATTCTGGTCAAGGGCATATGCCCGGGTTCCTGGCCTGATCCCCAGTAGGAGGTGTGGAGGCAGCAGTCAATCGATGATTCTTTCTCATCACTGATGTTTCTATCTCTCCCTCTCCCTTCCTCTCTGAAATCAATAAAATACATTTTTAAAAATTAGTCTGAAATAACCCTGAAGAAAATTTACAAATGTGCTGTCAGGACTTCCTCTAGTTATTAGCAATGCTTTCTGTTTGGCAGCATTATTCACAGTCTCCGTAGGAAATCATGATTCTGAACGCTATTAGGCTTGATCCACTTTGCTGAGCCTTGCAACAGGAAAGGAACAGTCGCTGAGGAATACTGCTTAGAGATCATGTGATGCCAATAAAAAATTTCAATCCCAATCCACACAATAAATTAAAATGAACCATAATTCTTCAACAGTATTTGTTGAGACTAGGATAGTATTTGTCAAATTATCCCCTTTAGCATTAAAAGAGAATTTCTTGCCGTTCTAAGTAATGCATTGTTTAATTTGGCTATTTTAAAACATATAAAATATGGGGCAATTTTCAATTTTTTTTTATTGATTTCAGAGAGGAACGGAGAGGGAGAGACAGAAATATTGATGATGAGAGTGAATTATCAATCGGCTACCTTTTACACACCCCCTACTGGGAATTGAGCTCGAAATCTGGGCATGTGCCCTGACCGTGACCTCCTGGTTCATGGGTTGATTCTCAATCACTGAGACACACCAGCCTGGAAATAGGGGGCAATTTTTAAAAGGCCAAAATTTAAAGTTCACAATAACTGAAACTATGTAAAACTATGTACATGTTTAAATGAAGACTAAAAGACGTAAAAAAAGAATCAATTGTGTAGGTGTTGGGATTAAAAATGCTTTTAAAAAGTCTTCTTAAATTACTACATAATTTTTTAAATTAGAAAAACACACACAAAAATCAATTAATTTGTTGAAAAAGTTTATTGAGTACTACTAAATGCTGAGCACTACATGATGGGCTGGGTACACAAGAGTGAACAAGCCAGAATACAGTGAAAAAACATCCTTAGAGAGTTAAGAAAGCATCTCAGAAAGTAAAGATGTGAACTTACTGATAAAAATAAATACATTCCAAACTAATTTGCTTATTTGCAGAGTAGCAAAGCATAATCCAAAAAGGAAAATGATTTTTCTGTATTTGGTCAAAAAGAGATACATACAGTTTCATAATCTGTCCACTAAGAATGCCTTCACTTCCATCAAAATCGGAACTTTGCTATTAATAAACAAGAAGATACCTAATAAAATGAAATTTAAACCTATTTTCCTCAAGTCCATATTTCAGAACACTCTCTAACTTTCTTCTCTTCTTAGGGAGGGATAAAATGAAGATAGGTATAAGTAAGGAAAACATGCTTAGATGCCCTCCATAGACTTTTACCCAAAATATAAGGATCTGAAAACAGTGTCTTAGCAGAACTGCAGATCTTTTTCAAGCAAGCAGCAATTCTTCGGAGTCCGTTCAACTCTAAAACCAAAAGGTATAGAAAATCGTGAAATAACCAAACCTCAAAAACCCACTTAGCTAAAAGGCCATTTCCTGAGCAGACCACTCAAGCAAACAAACACCAAAGTGAAGGAGACAGAAAGATGTTTTATTTTGAACGAATCTAAGCTACTGCTTACTTTTTCACACCTCCTCCTGCAGGTACTGGAGGGCAACAGGCACGTAATGCTTTTGGATGATGAAGATTCTGGTAACTCATTTGTATCTTGTGGGAAGATCAAGAACAGGGAGGGGAAACAATTCATGCAGCAAAGATTGGCAGGTACTTAACATTTTTTTTTTCCAGAATTTACAATGAAACATTTAAACCAGTGTGGCACAAGCCCTGAGTGAACACAACAATTCCATGCAGTAAAAGGCGCATGAACACTTCATCAGAACCATCCAGGTGAACGCCAGTGGAAAGTGAAGTCGTGAATGAGCAGCTGAAGGCTGAGAAAGGAACACGCGACTGCTCCCTCCTGTGGCTCTGAGGCTTGCTCGGCAGGAAGATGACAACAGAGAGGAGTGCCCATGACACTGTCACCTGTTCCCACAAGAGGAGAGGAGAGTGTGCCACGTGAAGGGGAAATAGCAGTGTCACGGGGGTCGGGAATTAGATAACAACAAAACTTTCACCAAAGAGAATGTCAGGGGAGGTTACAAGCACAAGATACTAGTAAACTAGTCAATGGGTTTCTGAGAAACTCCTTCTCTCTCTATGAGGAGGCATGGTTTCCCCGGGGAAAGCCACTTCCCCTCCGTCCCAGGGTCATGGATTTGATATGGGCTGTGTGTATTCTCTGTGAAACACTCTGTCCTTTGCAAACATCCTCTTGGTCACTGAGGCCTAGTGGTCCTTTCTCCTCAAAGTCTTTTAGATTCAAGCTGCCTCTTCCATTCCCAGGTTAACCACCACTCCCTTTTCACATCTGGACTCCCACAGCAATAGCTCCCAGCTACCTCTGTGTCTATACATTTTCCACTCTAGTATCTACTAGTAACCAAGGCTGTATGAACGTTCTGAAAATTCCACTTTAAGGCTGAAGAACCAAAGTACAGACTGATAGTCTATGGGAATAAGTCCGGATTCCTCAGCTCGTCACAAGCCCCTCCCCATCAAGTGTCCCCACTCGCCTATCCAACCACATCACCCACAGACCTTACTCTGCTGCTGCCTCTCACCTTTCCCCCTAATTTTCACCAAGATGAAAAAGAAAGCCATAAAACCTAGCTACTCTTTTCTTAAAAAAATCCTGTCCCTAACTCCATCTCACTGTGACTTTCTCTTAGCCTGAATCCTTTCAGTATAAATCTTTATATTTATATTCAGAAATTTTCAGTTTCTTCACATGCCCTTTGTCTCCCACCAGTTTATTTAAGAGTTCATGCAAAAAACTACATCCCCTGCAGTTTTAAGTTTATCAGAGGCAATGATAGTATCTTCTATGCATTTGTATAACCCATAGGGCTTAACGCGACCTTGAGCCTACCTGAAAGCAGTCCATTGGATGAAGCGTGCTGCAGACAGGGATGTGCTTAGGCTTTGGTGAGAGGCCCCCGCTGACTTGGTCACTCGTTGCATTAGCTACTCCAAGCCTCTTGCCTGGCACAGTCTGTGCTGGTCCCTGGCTGGGCACTTTCGCTGTGCTGGGAGCAGAGGGAGGTCCAGGAACCTGGCAAAGAGGCCCTACCTGAATGTGGCTGCTCAGGCAGCAGGGCTATTATGACAGAAGGAATGGAGCTACTAATGAGACACACAGTCCAGCCCCGAAGCGCTGCCATGGACAGGAAAAAAAAATGACCTCCTTTATTTCCAGACTAGCCTTCCTTTCTTCTTTTGTAAAGAGAAACAGAAGAGGTTTCTAAAGCACCTCTGCTGAAGCCTTTTGCACATGTTCTCACATCATCCACAGTAGGGAGGTGCCCTGCCCATCTTCCAACCTGCTTCTCGTCACTACAGCTTCTGAGACTCTCCAAGCGTGTCAGTTCAGCTGCTGTCAGCTTCATAGTTTCCCACACACACCACTCAGGGACTCATACTCTGCCTCTGGTTTCACAAATACCATCCTCAGGAGGCAAAGGTCAACCAATAAGTTGCAACAGAAATAATTTACCTTTTTTAAATTTTTTTAAAAAATAGAGGTTCGAGATACTTGGTGAGGCTTGGTTGGCATTTTATTAAAACTATAATCAAACTTAAAGTCTCATCTTTCGTTTGATGATCATTCATTCATTATGAGATCTACACACGTGCAAGAGAATGGGAAGAGGGGTGCTGCAGAAGTGTTCAACAAATTATTTTCATTCGAGGATCCTTTACTCTAGTAAGGAAGATAAGTACACAAATAACTGTAATTTAAGAG